GCAGGGGTAAGGGCAAGGGCTGCCCCGTCTTGTCGCCCCTCCTCTTCCTCACGGGCCTGCGCGACACCTACGGCGGCGTCTTCCGCCTCTTCGTGGGCAGCCGTCCCCTCATCGTGCTCAACACGTTCGAGGCGGTGCGCGAGGCGCTCGTGCTCAAGGCGGACGTGTTCAGCGACCGGCCCTCCGTGCCCATCGTCGTCATGATCACCCGCAAGAAGGGTAAGGAGCCCTGCGCGCCGCGACCGTTACGCGCCCTTAGCGGTCCCTTAACGGTCCGTTACTGCAGCGGCGGGGGGAGGAACTTAAGCGGGGGAGGGTTGAAAACCCAGATGGTCCCTGTTAAGAGGCAGTCGGTACCGCGGCTGTAACAGGGCTAAACGGGCAGGTTTTAGGTGCGGATCTTGTGGCCGTTGTTGCAGTGTCTGAATCGTCTTAGCCATGACTGGGGGAAGAAAAGGGGAAGAGCAGCCGAGTGTTATTAGATCGGTGTAAACCGTGTGGTAACAATGACACAGGGGTTATCCGGCGCTATCAACAAGTAGGTTTTTTTTACAGAGAATTTGTATAAATACTGAGATAAAATCCCTGATAAGCAGCGAGCAGCTTCTGTGAGCAGGTGCTGCGGGGAGGCTGGAGGGTGAGGAGCCTCTAAGCAGCTCTGCAGGAACCAGGCTGATGCTGCCACCTCTGCTGCGACCCAAACTGGGCTAGAAACTGCGCTCTGGTGTGAAGATAAGAAACCTTTGTCGTAGCTGCCTGCCGGTCACCACTTCTGAAGTACGGAGCTCCGGGGGACTCAGCAGGGCTGCAGCTGCAACTATAAAATCTAGTTGCAGTGGGCAGACCCCAAGCCAAGGTCCCATAAAGGGGTCGGTGGCAGACTTCAGCTAGTATTAATTTACCAGCGGGGTTGGAATTTTGTTTTAAAATACATTTACTATCATAGCTTGTGAAAATCCTGAGTTGGCTTGTTAGCATTTTCCAAAACAATGAAGGACTTATCTCAGCTGTCTGTGGCTGTATTGTGAATAAGGTGCAAATAATATGTTCTGCATGGAGGAGGGCAAAAAGAAGTATCAGAAACAGCAGGCACTACTGTGTGGTGAAGGGGGATGGATATCGTAACTGGATAGGAGATGCAGTAAGAAGCTAAAGGAGATCGTGGACATGAGTTCTTAACCCAAGACTTTTGTGCAAGTGTGCTGGATCTTCAGCTTGTATGGGGAAGTAGAAATATGGACCTTTTTTTCTTTTAGGAAAATGTTTTTTTTTTCTATAGCAGTAAGGGGTAACGAGGATTCAGGCTGAAGGGTGAACAGAACCTGAGTGGTTCATCAGCCTTTATGGTCCTACCCTGCGCAGATCTAGACATCAACATCTGCCATGATTTTTGCGCTTTTCAGTGTCCTCAATATTGCAGCAACACTAAAAGAAGCAGTGAGAAATTAAGTGCGTGTGTGGGAAGGTAGCCAAGCAAGAAACTTGCTGTTTTAACAATATATTTTTTTTTCCTAAAAATGAGTTGTTTTGCTTCTATACCACAGAGACTCTTGTTTGTCTGCGTGTGCCTGTGTGTTTGCTTATTTATTTTTAACTGGTTGTACTGGAAGGTTTTAATAGTCAATTCAAAAAGATTAGTGGTCTGAAATGAGCAGGAACTGGTAATTGTGGGTTGATGTTACTTTGGAATTAAGCATATTATAAAAAGGAAATTGAAAAATGCTATCTGTGCTGGGTACATCTGACTTTGCTTCATGTGAGGATTTTCTGTGAAAACAGTCAAATACTATTCCATCTTCATTGCCTGGTAATGACCTGCTTGGTTTATTTTCCCTCTTATCTCTGTCATTCTAACTTCATGCTTCTTTCTCTCTCTCTCTTTTTTTTTTTTTAATCCCCTTCTTTCCATATGCCCTTAGCTGTGGGGTTTCAGAGCTTTGGAAGATACAGGGCCGTGGAGAGCTCTGTGCCAGGCTGGGATGGTAATCATCGCAAGTGGTGGGAGTGGATTTTAGTTATATAGTAATATCTCTGATGTGTTTGTTAATCTAACAAGGTGTCCTTGTTTGTAAAGGAACAACGTTTATATTTGAAGCTAAGGCATTGCATTCAAATTATACATTGTGATGACACATTCATGCAGAACATGTGCCTTGAGGCTTGAGAGTTATGGAGATGCAAATGAAGTATGTCATTAACAAGTCACTCTGAATCTGCCTTCGCCTTTGCAATTTGTTTGCAACATACCTGCCTGTCTTGTACTTTAGTTATAGTTAAAGAAACATGTTACTAGTAATAAACACATACGCGCAACAAACAGATTTGAGAAATCTTGTAGCATGAAGAAAAGAAATGAAAAAAACAAATTGTGTTTAATATCTTGCTGTTCTGTCCTGCTCATGGAATTTGTCTCAAGACTTTGAAAAGAAGATTTCCTGCAGAATTGTTACCATTTGTAATAAAGCCTCTGCAGTGCCTTTTTTCTTCCATCTATTAGTGTCTTGTAAAGACTAATAAAGACATTGATATAGTTATTATGTACATTTATTGTTTGGGAAAATGAGGGAGAGGGATTTCCCAAGGCTGCAAAATACAGATTTGCCATATACCATTTCCCTCTGCCCGGCCTTAGGGTTGCAAGGCGTGTTTAACTATGCCCTCTTTAAAACAGAGAGGCTTGGTTTCAGGCTCTCCCTTTCTCTCCTAGGTGTTATTTTTGCACCTTACGGCCCTGTCTGGAAGGAACAGAGGAAATTCTCTCTTTCAACGCTTCGCTATTTTGGAGTAGGAAGACATAGTTTAGAACCGAAAATCATCGATGAACTGAAGTTCATAAAAGAAGAAATACTAAAGCATGGCAAGGATCCATTTAATCCTTTTCCGATTATTCGCAACGGAGTGTCCAATGTTATCTGTTCCATGACTTTTGGAAAGCGCTTTGACTATGAAGACACTGAGTTCAAGACCATGCTGAAGAACATGGCGCGGGCCCTGGAGCTAAGTGTCAACAGCTCTGTGATGCTGGTCAATGTCTGCCCTTGGCTGTACTACCTTCCCTTCGGGCCTTTCAGGGAACTTAGGCAAACAGAATTAGATATTACTGCTTTTCTCAAGAAAATAATTGCACAGCACAGGGATACACTGGATGTAGCAAATCCCAGGGACTTCATTGATATGTATTTCCTCCATGCAGAAGAGGAGAAGAATAAGGAGAGCAGTTTTAATGAGGAATACCTGTTTTTTATCATTGGTGACCTCTTCATTGCAGGCACAGACACTACTTCCAATACACTGTTGTGGTGCCTACTCTATATGTCTCTCTACCCAGAAGTACAAGGTAAGACTATTCTATTCTACCTATTCTAGGTGTTTTATTTCAGTCTGTAAAGCTCCTAGTGATTTTCAGGCATGCTTTAGCAGGAAGGCATGGAAGCAATCAGGTAGACAGGAACAATGTAGAAGTTGTTTAAGTTCATGGCTGTATGTACATATAACCTAAAAGGCTGGTATGTAATAAGACATCATCTATAGTCCTCCTCTGCTATTATGATCGTTAGATTACCTCTGCATATTAACAATCTAAATTGACCAATCCTTACATTTTTTTTCCAGTTTGGGACAACTTCCATCCTTAAATTACTGAAAAGTAATTTAAGGGGAGCTTGGCATGTTTTAAAAGCTTTGGCGGTTGTCACCTCTCAGGTCTGTTGTTGCTTCTAATCACTATTTGACAAATGCTTTATGAATTTAGGAGTGATATAAGGTATATAAGGCATATAAAATATATAAGTTCTGGTGGTAAGGTCTGCTTTTAGGCTTCCCTGGGCACGTGCTTGATGTAGTTGCAAGGCCTCTTTCTCTCAGTCCGAAAACATTACAGCAGTTGGTTAGGCTGATGATGACTTGGAGAAAAGAAAAATGTTGTGTCCGTGTTAAAGAAGGGTGAGTAATTATTTTTATCCTCTATTTGGTGCTTGAAGCTGTGCCTGGAGCACTGTGGCCAGTTCTGGACCCCAAGTACAGAAAGGACATTGCCATACTGGAGCAGGTCTGCTGGAGCTAGAACTCAACAGAGTTCTAGAAAATGCCTTGTAGAGAGTTGTGGTAGACATTGAAATAATAAAATAGTACTTGAGTTATTTTCAGGATTTAAGATAAGAGGAATTTTCAGGATTTAAGATAAAGAGTTATTTTCAGGATTTAAGATAAGTTTTCATCTTCAAAGACTTATTTCTTTATTTTTTACTCAGTGTTATTAAAGTGTATGTGGTTGCTATGATATCATTTTCTTCAGTAGGCCTTGAAAATTGTATTTGAAGCAAACTTAGATAGTTGAATTTAATGAAAATAAAGCAACTGATTTAGGAACAGCTTCCCGCCTGAAGTCACACACAACAACTGATTCTAACAAAAAAGAGTAAACCTCAAGGTAGGTTTTGGGGTATTGTAGCTGCTTTGCAAATTAGCAAATAGATACTGTTTACAGCATCTATCTATCTGGAATGATCTCTTTAAAAAGGTCAAGATCATAGTTAACTGTACAAAGTCAACGCAAATGGTTGAGCAAAGATTGCAAAATAGGGCATTAGTTCAGTATGTAGGAGATAGAGTTCACTGAGGATAAATCTGTAGAAGTATTTTATTGTATGGGCTTATTCTTTTTAATGGTGCTGTATTATCACTGCTAATGTGACAATTGGGCAGTTACATGTAGTAGATATGTTCTAAACTGTCCAAGTGAGATTTATAAAGGTTTTTTCTTCTTTTTAACTGCCTTTCCTGCTGTCTGCTACTATACCTGGTCCTGTAATTTTTCCCTTTTCTGCTGATTTCTAACACTTCTAATCTCTCCAGTTGCCCTTTCCAGAGTACTCCTTGAGTATGTGCATTGCTTAGTTATGTAATGGAATCATCTTATTTTCAGTATCCCATTCCTTATGTGTTGGGATTGCTTGGGTGCTTGGGAAACCGATATGGCCCCCTTTTTAATAGTGATATGTTTCTCTTATCCCATTTATGGAAGTGCATAACTTTACTGCTAGTGAGTGTTGCAGACAGACACTTCATGGAAAGGCACATGGTGGGTTATGAGAAGGGAAAAAAGCAGCAGCAGCAAACAGGACTTGTTTGGCTGCGGAATCCAGTTTCGCTTCCTACATGAAAGGGGGGAAGTGGGATGTGCGCATAAGCAGATATGGGAAATCATTGTGGTGGCCTTGAGTTCTGAAGATCTGTGGAAAGTAGGTAAGGTTTCTTTTTTATGTGTGTGTGTGTGTATTTGGTGGAGCAGTTCAAATAACAAGGAGTCTTGGAGGCTCGGTTTTTGCAGATGGTAGTATAGTTAGTAGCAATTTGGGGATTTTTCTGTAGGATTCCACATATTTCTGCAAAGTCCTATGAACTGTTGTTTGGCATAAGACTTGTGTGATACTTGGCACGAAACATCCAGTGTAATTATTATTACTTTTTATGAATGCAGAAAACTTTCCTCATTTAAACCCCTGTGGACATGCATACCTGAATCCAGGGCTATAATCTGTCAGTGACGAAAGTAGCAGAAAAAAACAATCTGGTACCAGAGCGCTGTTAGCAAATAATTTTTTGCTATGCAGTCCTTATATGAGAGCTTGTTTCCCTAGCATGCTTTATAGAGGGCAGCAAGTGTTTGTAGAGCACAAGCCATATGCTGTTTTTGAGTGCTTTCTATCTCTTTGAAAACAGAGATAGTTTTTGCATTAAGCTTTTACTTAATCTCGAATCAGTGCTAGGGAGAGAGGAGAGCAAAAGCTCCAAAGTGGAAGCAGCCTGGATTCCAGTGAACAGGACAACCCCAAAATACTCAGGGTATCAAGAGTAAAAAATGACATTATTTTTGTTTAACACTTAATATTTGTATATTTCCCTCTTTAAACATATTCTCTTGTGTATGCAACCAAAATACAAGTTAAGTGTAATAAAACTTAATATTGTCTCATAAAGGAGTGAAGCAAATCTTGCATCTCAAACTTGTATAAGTTTCTGACCTGAGCCTTTAGTCATGTGAAATAATTTGACACTTTCCTTGGATGAATGAGAATGGAAATTAGGTCTCTATCTCCTGTCTTTAATTTGAAGAAGGTCTCTCTGGGAGAAGGAGTGTTTTCTGATGCCTTTTTGAGTACTAAAGTAGTAGTTGAATGTGGTTCAGTGAACTGAAAGTAGGAAATAGTATGGCTTTAACGTATGCAGTACTAGATTGGGATTCTGCTCCAGAATGAAATAACTGCATTAAAAGTTTTCCCATGTCTTCACTATCTTTTTCAATTTTTAGAAAGGGGTCTTTCTAGAGATGGGAAACGAGAGCAGGCAAGCAGTGTGTGTGGCCTGTGGTGGTGGTCCTTGTTCTTTTCATGCAGACCAGGAATGGTATTTTCACCATTCCAGTTACTGCAGAGTTACAATATAAGCTGAGGTTATTGTTACATTTGGAACTGGAATAGAGCTTTTCCTGTATTTTTCCTGTATAGAAAAAGTATCTGACAATGAAGTTGTTTCACTCTGTAGGCGCTTGTCAGGCTGTGCTTGGTTGCTTTGTTCTTAACTCTGTCTGTTCTTAAGGCTTCTCTTGGCATAGTTATTTCATTTAGGGTCTTGCAGTCATCTCTGACAAACTTATGTAAAAAATGATGCATAGACAAGTGAAACTGAAATAATGCCGTCTTACTCTGCGTCTTTTTCTTCTCTATCCCTTTCATTAGAGAAGGTTCATACAGAAATTGAAGCAGTTCTAGGATGTGACAAAGTTCCCTCTCTCACCCACAAGGCTCAAATGCCCTTCACAGAGGCAACCATTATGGAAGTGCAAAGGATGACTGCAGTTGTTCCCCTTTCTATCCCTCGAATGGCCTCAGAAACCGCTGGTAAGCATTTCTAGAGACTCATTAATACAGTATTTCTTGTGTGGATTAAAGTCTGAAGGGACATCTAGTGAGGATGTAAAAAGACCTCATTTATATCTTGTAACATGTAACCCTAACATGTAAAATGTCATTCACTGAGATTAGGTGGGCTTGAGACTCATGTAGCTAAGGAATGTGCAGTGTGGTTTATAGTGAGACAGTGGGATGCAACTGAGACTAGTCGCTTCAATATCCTTTAGAGATTACTTATCCCTCTTCCTTACCCTCTGTCTTCATTTTGATAGGGCACTGTGACAACACAGGAATAGGAGAAAAAATAATCAAATGGCTTCCATTTAGCTGAGGGCATTTTTGGTTGTGGTGCTGCTGTGATATTGGCATTTCGAATGAGGCCTTGGAGCAGAGCAATGAGACTGCAGCTTCCCTGCTTCCTTTTGCCTGCAGGGAGCTCTTGGCAAAACATGGTGTCTTTCTAGCTGCTCTGACCTCCCACATGCTGCCCCAGTGGGTCTATAATTCAGGTGGCAGCAGTGCTACTTAAACTCCTGCTGTGTTTGCTGTCCACAGCTATGTATCCCTGTCCTTATCATGAAGTATTCTAGTCCTCCTTCAAGTATAAAGGTATCCTCTGTTTGCTCCCAACAAGTTCTGTTTTTGTGCTTTGGTTTAAAGTGCTGCAAGGATATGTTATTCCTAAGGGCAGTGTGATTGTGCCCAACTTGTGGTCAGTACACAGAGATCCTAATATTTGGGAGAAACCAGATGACTTCCAACCAACAAGATTTCTGGATGAAAATGGCCAGCTAATTAAGAAAGAGACCTTCGTTCCTTTTGGAATGGGTAAGATACTTGGTTGCATTCAGTAGATGGTGTTTTGGGGGAGGGCAGGCAGGTATTTTTTGAAGTGTAGAGCCTCGAAGGCATGAAATTTAAAAGGGACTCATAGGAGTAACTATAGAACGTCTTTTATTATTGTGATTTGTGACTTGCAAAACAAAGTAGTTGGATTTTTGAAAGTTTCAGTTGCCTGGCAGAGATGAGAAATCATTAACAGTAATTTGATAATACAGGGTAAATGCAGTTTGCATCAAGCAGTAAAACTGAGCAAGACTCAGACTCAAATACTGGAGACAAAAGCTTTAGAAGTTTGTAACTTATTGCTTGAGGCCTTCTCAGATTGGAAGATCTACAGGGATTGTGTGCATAGCAACAAATAGATCAAGAGTTATTATAAAACTGGTAATATGTCTCTTTCTAACTGTTCTTTAGGTAAACGTGTGTGCATGGGAGAGCAGTTGGCAAAAATGGAGCTGTTCTTAATTTTTGCGAGTCTCATGCAAAGTTTTACATTTTTGTACCCTGAAAATGCTACAAAACCATCCATGGAGGGAAGGTTTGGTCTAACCTTAGCTCCGTGTCCATTCAAACTAATAGCTTTGAAGAGATGATAATAACATCAAAAAAGACTAAATGAAGAAATATTGCACTTTATTTCAGCTTTATTTTGTTTCCAACTTACTGTGCTACTTCCCTTTCAGAAAAACACCGACTGCACAGACTTTCATAATTAGTGGCAATGTTCCTTCCTGCTTCTGGAAGGGGATGATTTTATTGTGTCAGCTATTGCATTCCACAGATGAACTGACAATGCTGTAGTTTGCAATCTGATATTGAAATTTGTTTGCACTCAGGTTCTGCCCTCATGGGCAACTGCTGGTTGTCCTGGTTGACTTTGAGAACTGGAGTCGCATTTCAAATACAGCAGCACAGGCACTACCGATGTATCTTGTAAAGATTTAAGCATGGAAATGAGCAATCTGACAAACTTGAGGCTTGGCTCTTTCTTCTGTCTTGCATATGGCGAGAAAAAAAAAAAAGTTCTGTAGTTGGTATAATATATTACTGTCTTTTTTATCATGCACAGTTTTAGTGCTGTTTAGCAGTATTAACTAATCATGGGGGAAGCCTTTCTGAAGGGAACACTTGCTCTGCATAAGCTCACCATTTATTTGAAGATCTCTCAAATGTCTAATCTTCTGGGGTTCAGGCAACAATTAACCTTTAAGTAATTGTTTTAATCATCTTTAAATCCCTATACACCTCTTTGATTTAGCAGAACTTCATAGGAAATAAATCCACATATCATCTTTAAAGGGAGTTGTATTTCAGCCTTTTTTCCCATTGGGCTCTAGACAATGCTAGCGGTGTCTAGCTCCTGAGCTTAAAACTACAAGATTTTAATGTGAAAATGACTGCAGAATGAATTTGGGTAGTCTGTAGCAGAAACCAAACCTTAATTCTAGAAGAAAATTCAACTCTCGAAATTGAAATTACCTCTTTTTGTAACTTTTTCACTTGAAGCCGTAAAAAAAAGGTTGTGCTGCAAAGACTGCAAAACAGTTGCTTTGGGTATAAAGTTTTCTCTTTGTTATTTTGAATATCACTGTGGCTAAATTTCTGAATGATGCATTCGGTTGCTAAGGTACCGTATGGTTTGTGTAAGAACCTGCAGTGCTTATGTAAGCTCACCTTCTACCTTCATAGGCTAATATGTGCTTCAATACCTATGCGAAATTTTTTGAAGACTTCATAGCATAATAAAAAGTTAATACCAAATCTAATTATACTAACACTAGGCTTTGATAAAAGCCTGACAGCCTGGAATAAGCATTTATTCCTTAATATTTTACAAGGAACAAGTAGGTTCTATACAGTTTAATTTTTTTTGCCTGAACCTCCTTAAAATGGTAATGCATAATTGCAAAGCTAAAATTACATATTGATAATATTTATCTTTTTGCTAGAATGTCTTTTTAAGCAGCATAATGATCTTAATGTGCAATTGATTATTTATATAAAATACATGTCCTTTTTAATCAGTGAGGGCACATTTTAAAAGCACTTTAGTTTCTTTTTATAGATTCCAAGAAAGACACAATTCATATAATCTAGTCTGTGAAATGACTTGATATGTATACTTGTTTTGCCTATTGAATTTAGTTTAAATGTGATCTTTGACACTATCTTTCTACAAATGCTACCTTCAGAGTGCAATTTTTGGTGATGCCTATAATCAAGTACTGCACAATGTGACAAGCCGCAAATGCTGATGTGAAGGTGCATTTGTGTTAATGTCTGCCAGGATGCAAGGTGGTGCTGCAAATGACAAACATACATATATATATGTCCTGGATGTACCGAAACTTTCATAGAAGAATGCCATGGAGGTGTCTAAACTGTATGATAAAAACAACAAGATGTTTCCGGTTGTAAAAATGTGTAGCCATTTTTGGTAGACTTGTAAGTAAAGTGGTGAAAGAGATGGTTTTGTATTGTAAATGTACCCCTCTTCCATTTTTTTCTGAACAGAATTATCTCTGAGGCCTTATTGAAATATGTATGTTTATAGAAGTGGAAGTCTGCTTCTGAATGCTGAAAGTATCTGTATTTCTAAAATTGATTTCAGAGTTTGCTTTAAAATCATTTTGTTTTTAATAAAGCCATTCCTAAGTAAGTGTGTGACAGCTTTGCATTGTCCTTTTAATGAGTTTCATTTGCTGGCTAAGCTTGTGATTTTTTGTTTTACTTGTTATAAAAAAGGCTCTTGAGTTAAGAGGATGTTACAGGATGAAGAAGCAGAAGGTATTAGGGAGGTAGGAGAAGAAAATGAGGATGGGAACATACATGTTTTGGGTAAAAAATAGAAAAGTTATGCCTGTTCCTTCCTTTGGTGCAGTTTTAAAATACCATTACTCTGAAGGAATAAAAGGCAGAGAGAAGAGTGGAGAGGGGAAGACAGGAGTGAGGGTGAGTTGCCTCTGTGAGGAGAAAGAGCCGAGGGACCCGGGTGGGAGGGAAGCAGCTGTGGAGCTGCCTCGTGGTGGTAACTTGGCATTGGAGAATGTCATCAACTACCTGCTCGGCCACAACGTGTGTATGCAGAGAGCAGTTACCTGCCCAAGTTTGAGCTCCTGTAAAGCCTCACAGCTCAATGTCAGTCAGGTGAGACTCGGTGAGGAAATGTTTCTCGTTTTATGAAGGGCAGGGTTTAATGTTGAGCTGCCCTGGTCTGTGACCCTGAGTCCCTGTGAGCACGGCGGTGCCCTTCGCCACGCGCTGACGGCGGAAACCAGCCCCCAGGGCAAGGGCTGGAGGAGAGGCCG